CTAGATAGCATATTTTAACAACAATACAATATACACAAATATTTAGTTAGCTTAAGAGCAACAAAGCAACACTTATACACTGACTTAATGTGGGTTGTGAGAAAATGCGCTGATACGAGAATGAAATGGAACAATTCAATGACACAAAAAAAAAAAACCGAATATTTATTATGTAGTGGCATAGCTTTTAATTAAACTTAAATTATTTAAAATATTTTAACTTATTACACACAAAAGCAGATATAAGAAATAGTGATTTAAAATTTAAAAAATAAAAAATAATGGTACTTATCAATATTGTACACGATTTATTTAGGGTGAGCTGAAAGTAAAATGTTGAAAACTCTCGCATATGACAATGAAAATATTACAAACATACATGCATACGAACTACGTGAAAACTTAAAAGTTTGGTTGGCTAAAAGAAAAATGAATGTTGAGTGTGCTAAATGTGAATTTGAAGTGAAAATGTCAAAGAAAGCAAAAAAATATATATATATAAAAAAAAAACAAAATAACGAAGAACAAAGCATTTTTATTTTTCCATTTTGTCTGTAATACATAAATACATATGTATGTATGTATGTATGTACATATGTTTAGTCGCAGGCGCTAACATAGTGAGTATCTAAATTATACGCCACCCACATATTAGTACATCCGTTGTATCTTGCGTAAGTGTAGCATTATTTAAGAGAGCCCGTCCGGCTAAGATAGTTTAATGTTAATGTAGTTTGAAAGATTTTGTTTATACTGGCACGAAATTCTTACAAAAAAGGCTCGCTTTCATGTTAAAAAGCTCTTTTGACAGAAAGTACTTGTTAATCATTTTGCTCGCGCTGCTTCAACCGTCGCAATGGCCGAGTGATTAACGCAATCTTGGGCGGCGATTTATTTTAATTTGATAATTTTTTTTAAATTAATTGTTTCTAATTTTTTAATTCAATTGTTTTTTTTATTTAGTTTTCTTCTAATTTTCAAATTTTATTGTTCATTTAATTTTTAGAAACTAACTTTATATTATTATTGTTATTAATCGTTTTCGTTATTTATGGCCTTATAACAATTATATTCAAATTTAATGGAATACTTTTGGTGGAAAACAATAATAATTTAGACAAAGGTACTCATCATACTTCTTCAACCGCCGTGACTGGGATATGAAGCAGCGACCTTGGACTACAAAGCCAAGTGATCTACCCATTGAGATATATAATTTCGCCACGTAAAAAAACTTTTCCATTAAAAACGGCCCCAATCTCAAGAAAATTGTTCAATGTATTTAAATTTTTTTTTTATAAATAAAAAATATAAATTTTATTCCAAGAGTTTATTGTTAAAAAAATGCATATCGTTTCATTTTTAAAAACAAAATTGTTAGGTTTGGTGTTTTAAAAAGAAAACTATTTTTTTAACTTGATTAAATAGAGAAATTAAATAGAAACTTATATAATTTTTTCTTATTTTAATTTATTTTTCTTTCAAGTATTAGAATTTTTTACTAAAAAAAGATTTTTATTTTATTTTATTTAAATGTTAGTACCTTATTTCATTGTTTTCTTTTTTAGTTATTACTTTTTTTTTTTGTTATTTTAATATGCTTTTAATTTTTAGATTTTGGTATTTCAAAAATATATTTTTTAATTACATTTAATTTTTAGAAATCTATTTTACATGTTTTCTCTTTTTAGTTTAAATTATGGTTTTAAGAAGAAAATTATGTATTTACTAAATTTCATTTATGTCTTAGAAAGCTTATTTTTAAAAGACCAACAGAAAACTCTAAGACCTCCTCGTAAGCAGATATTTTAATTAGTCTGTCGAAAGACAGAAAACAGCTTTTAAGATAGTTGCCAGAATTGACAATTGACTTACACAAAAGACTTTTGTCTTTCGAAAGGCGGTGGTTAGTTGAAAGGCAGTTGCCAGAATTGTCTTGCAATTCTAATTATGTTTTTAATGAAAATATACATAGCTTATTCCTGAAAAAGAAACGTTTATTACAATAAAATTGAATGGGCTACCAAATTTTTTACGAAATTTGTGGCGTATAATTGTGAAAAGCACTATGAAGCTTGCGCGCACGAATGAATTCGCAAGCTGGCAAATGTCAGCAACTTCTACAACTGCACACCCATACACTTCTAAGCCCAGCATCAAGGCCACATATGACTAATTGAATCTACTTGAAGCGCGACATTAATAAGTTTAACAATTCCAACTCGCCAACTCACTTGCTCCTCCCCGCCCCCCTTTGTCATCGCTTAGCCTGTGACTGCTTGGCTTGGCTGTTCTGCGGCAACTCGCCGTTGTTACATTTACACCACAACCCTTAAAATTTGCAGAGCACGAAATGAAAAACGAACGAAGAACGACGTAAACCAAAAACGGGGAAAAACGCTTCGTTAGCATAACCGCAAATTGGTTAAAATTTCCGGAAAAGCGAGGAAGCGAAATATGCAAACCCGTCGGTGTCGTTGCAACCATATGAGCTGGCTGTTTTTTTGGTTTGTACTTTTCTAACTTTGTTATGTCAGACCCGATGCGGTGTCGTTGGTGCAGAGACGGAAAAGGAGAAGGAAGTACGAGTACGAGGATTTCAACGCCGCTGCCTTCCAAGTAATGAACTTTTTTCATATGTTTGCCACGCTGCGCGAGAAATGACATACGGAAGTTTTCTGCATGAAAAAGAAAGAAAAAAATACATACACACATGAGAAATAACATGAAAGTCAATTGCTATGCTGACAAATTTAAACCGATTGGGATTTTGCGTACTCATCAATTCATCGCACGGAGCTGGAATTTAAGATCAAGTGGGTCAAGGCGACTAAGCAGATATCTATGTAGGACCAGAGTTTGTAGAGGTTTAGGTTCAGTCATGCTGAGAAGAAGAGAGAAAGCAAGGCCCTACATGGAATGGACGGAACAATCTAAGGTGGACTGTGGCGGGAGGTAAGAAGGCATTTGTACCAGGACAGATTTCGGAACAAGAATAAAAAGCCGGCATGAAAAACTCTAAACTCATCTAGAATTGAAGGTAAATCGACTGACGCAGAGCCTTTAGTAGTTAGTGGGACTGAGACAGGCTAGTTTTATTTTGGATTTGGG